ACACCCCCCCCACACAGGGGACAAGCTGCTGCCACGTGCTCCCAGTGGTCCCCATCCCACACCCCCAGGATATCTCTGCTCCCCACCCCACATCCCCGGGGGGGCTCTGCTCCCCATCCTTCACCCCCAGGATATCTCTGCTCCCCCATCCCGACCCTGCTCCCCATCCCGCATCCCTGGGATATCTCTGTTCCCCATCTCACATCCCCAGGGGGACTCTGTTCCCCATCCTTCACCCCTGGGATATCTCCGCTCCCCATCCCGCATCCTGGGGATGGGTCCACCCTGGTCACCCCCCGCCATGCATCGGGGCCCATTGGCCATTTCTGCAGGGATGTGCAGAAATTCGGCAGCAATTGCATAAGGAGGAGCCATCAGCCCCGAAAACAAGGTCAGGCAGTGAGGGGGGGGCACGGGGGGAGCGGGATCGAGCGGCCTCCGGCAGCTCTCCCACCCCGGGCTGCGGCAGCCGCACGCCGGGAATGGCACGGCGCGCCAGCCCTGCTCGGTAACGGGGGGCTGAGGGTACGGGGGTCCCTCGAGCCGTGGTGGCATCACACCAGCATCCCTTGGGGTTCCTCTGGTCACGGTGGCATCACACCAGCAGCCCCACAGCTGCCATGGGGCTGGAGCCGTGGGGTGGGCCCCATCCTGGAGCCAGTCTCTCAGGGTTTGGTTAATTGGGGGTGCTCAGCCATGGACAGAGGGACCCCAAAACAGAGCAAGTGCCCCCCCAGATCAGAGATGGGGGGACCTGTGGGGCACGGGCAGCGACAGAAGCCACCCGGAGCGTGGTGGCAGCCAGGCTGCTGGCATCCCAGGGAGTGGGGGGCAAACACAGCGGGTCTGCCTTCTCCCGGGGGGGGGGTCCTTCCCTGCCAGCACCACCATCACCCTCCTTACCCACCATCACCCCCAAGGAGCCGGGGTGGCTCCTCATGCCCTGCATCCCCGGGGCCTGGCAAAGGGGAGGGATGTCCCCCCCCCGGCACACCGTGTGCCCCCCCGGCACACTGTGCTGGCTCCCCCCCCCCGGCAAACCGGCGGACCGTGTGTCACCGGCTTCATTTGACGCCCGCCCTCTCGGGGAGATTAATTAATCCAATCCCCGCTCCTGAGGCCCCCGGAGGGACCTGCCTCCCAAATTGCCCGCTGTCACCGGGATGAGAGGCCGAGCTGCCAGCGATGGGGGACCCCCGTATCTCGGGGCGGGGGGTGGGATGGGGGCCGG